TTTAATTATATTTTATTGGTTTTTAAGAATAATTTCAATTTTATCTATCACATTATTACTCATAATATAAATGTAAAAAAAAATAAATTTTTAAAGTTATGATTTATTTTACTTGTTTCCTAATTGCATTTAAATGCCGATTTTTGAGAATTAAAATTTTTGCAATTTAAAGTCCCGAATTCTTGAAAATTAAAATATTTTAAAATATTTTAAAATATTCTTATTAACAATGAAAATATTTTTGGAAATTTCGAAAAATTTTTAGAATTTCTGTCCGCTACAATATACGACTCTATTCAATCTTAATGAGAAAGTATCATACTATATATAAGTATCATACTATATATATATAAACATTTTATCAAAGTCAACAATATAATCTTTTGAAGATTAATTTTCTCTTTTCAATTATATATAGTCGTTGAATTTATTTTCATCATATCATCTTAATGAGTATATGAGTATTATGAGTTATATTAATGAGTATATGCGAAATATGAATATATATAAGAAACGATAAAAAACAATAACGCTTAGTTGAACTATATATGAGAAATTTTTTAAAAGATGTTTAAGGACTATAGATTATAAACTATGGAGAGTGAGTTTTAGAACATATCGCACGTTTATCCTTTTCACCTTTTTATAAATACAAGCAGATATATAAACTTGTATATAAACAATATTCGGAACATTAATTTAATTTACTTGTCCTTTTTCCATTATACATTTTGGTTGTGAATAAATTCGAAAAAACGGAATTACAATATCTCTAAAATCTTAATCTAAAATCTTTTGTATCTTTAATTATATCAGGATATTTGGAAAATATGTTTCGACATCTCGTGGTGATAGCGACACTCGTCGTATTCAACGTTTCATTTCGAAGGTAAGCATGTATAAACGTCGATTTGCGATAAATGTTTCAACAAAATATTAGAACAAATTTCTAAAATGTAATTTGCATGTCAGAGTAAAATGGACAAGAAAACCAAGAATATAAATAGAGAAATATCGCGTGCAAATTTTTCGAATATACAATACTCCATTTCTATGTTTAAGGTTTCTTTGATTTGTAAATTTTTGTAATTTAAAATCGAATCATACGATGCTCGATTTCTTGAATGATAAGCATACATGCATACTTTGACGCATATAGTCTAACGTTTAACAAATCATACTATGAAATTAACAATTGTTCTTTTAGGTGACATAAGAACAGAGAAATTGACATTTAAAGTAACTAATCATTATTTGAAATTGAAAATATAGCATTTATTTCTTAATACTAACTGGTTGAAGCTTTAATAATTTTCAAGAATAAAAAATAATTTGCAGATGATTAATGAATTCGTATATATCTTATTATGCAATATTTGTACATTGGCGTATATTTGTATATATGACACATACATACGTCAATATGTATATGTAAAATAGAATATGGAATTTTATTTATTTTTGTTTCAAGAATTCTTTTGCATAAGATAAACTCCCGGCGAAGAGCGATTGATATAAATTTTGATCGACTGACTCGTGCAGCTGATATTGCAAGGCAATCTCTGTTTAGTGATGGGGATATTGCATACTATGGTAATATTACAATTGGAACTCCACCGCAAGTGTTTAATGTACTTATAGATACTGGTTCCCCAGATCTCTGGATACCATCCATAATCTGTACTTTCAAATTAAGCAGCCGTGCTTGCAGTAAGTATACTATAACATCGTTATAGCTTCAATATTCCATTACTTGCAAAAGTATCTTTATATTTAATAATATTATTGCATATAAAATAAATTTTATTGCTTTTTTTTATTTTAATGATTGACGTAGAACGGTAAAAATATAGAATAGAAATGTAGAATTGTTTTCTACCATATTTCAAATAAAATTTTTTGAATAATTTAAAATATAAAAGTTTTGATGCTTAAAAAGTTAAATTATTGAGCAGATAAATATTATGGAACTGAGTTTTTCAATTACGTATGATTTAATTTAGATATTTGTCACGCTTATGTTCTCATGGCATAAATGATTTTTATATGATTTTATAAATCATGTATTAAAGTAAAAAATATAAATATACATTTGATGATTTAAATTATTATTAATTATACATATATCACATTGATATAGAAAAATTTATTTCTAAAATTTGTAATACATAAATTGATTTACTTTTACGTATTACACAGTGACCCATAATAATTATGATAACAGAAAATCCAGCACATATAGACCAGATGGTAGATCTTTCGGAATTCGATAAGGTAATGGTGCTGTTGGCGGATATTTATCAACTGATGAATGTGAGTCATCAAACAAATAATTCTATTTAGTCCCAATTATTAATTATAAAAGTGTTTCTAAAGAAACACATCACTTTTTTTTTATAGATTGCAGGCCTTGATGTTCAAAATCAAACTTTCGGAGAAGTAACAGAGCAGTACGGAAAATCCTTCGAATATGCAAAATATGACGGAATTTTGGGTCTGAGTTATCCAATATTATCTCCTGAAGGAGTGATTCCACTTTTTTCCAACATGATTAACCAACAGCTAGTGAAGAATCCAATTTTTAGTTTCTATATTAAACAGCACGTATTTCTGTATACATTACGCTAAAAAATATTTTTTCTCTTAAATAGTTTTCTCTTAAATAGTCTTCTCGTACACATTTGTCTTTTCACATTAAACAATGTAATCTACACAGAAATCCTAATGTCAAATGGGATGGTGAACTGATATTGGGAGGCTCTGATAACAGGTTATATTTAGGCGATTTTACATATGTTGATGTTACCCAAAAAGAATATTGGCAATTTACTTTGGATAAGTACGTTATTATGTTTAAATTGCACGTATGTCAGTTACAAATTATATGCCAGATAAATATTAATGCTATTCCACTGTAGGATTAAAATGGAAGATAAGATTTTATGCGAGAATAGTTGTCAAGCTATTGTCGACACGGGTACTTCTCTAATAATTGGACCATCAACAGATATCACAATTATTAATAGACGAATAGGAGCTGATCATAATAATTTTACGAGAGGAATATTTGTAAATAGTGATACTTATTACAACGACAATTCTCTTTTAATATTAAATAATTTAATAGATTATTGAAATATATTAATAGAAATTTGATATATTATTGATTACACTAACACAATTTATTTTACTAATACTAAGCTTTGTTTAAAGGTGAACTGCAACAAGACTTATAATTTGCCCATTATCGATTTTATCGTAGGTGGTTTTAGAAAACTCAGACTTTCTAGTGAAGATTATATTATTAAGGTAAATATCTTCAAATATGTGCGATTTAAATTTTCTTAGAATCGAAATGTCATGCCATATTTGATTCGTTGTAGGAAATATATAACAATGAGATGGTGTGTATGAGCGCCTTCGTGAGTGACTATCAGTATAAGGGCGATCCAGCGTGGACTTTGGGCGATGTATTTTTACGTCGGTATTATACTGAGTTCGACATGAAGCATGACCGGATAGGATTTGCCTGTATTGTATAATGTATAATAAGAAATTCGTTTCTCTTTACACATTTTTATAGATAAATGTTGAAAAAGCTAAACTACAATAATAGGCGAATTATTAAGATAAAGTTTATAGAATAATAATTCCTAGGTTTATTACCTTATGAATTTTTGTGATTCTTAGATATGTATGTGATACTTTGCGAAAATCACAACAGAAATATATATATAATATTATTTTTATTAATGATTTAATACAATTTATTTGTTTAGCATAATATTGTAATATGACATGATATTATGAATATTTCGAAATATTAAAATAAAGTATACATTCCTGTATATTGTAGCTATGTTGATTTCATATATCGACCCTTCAATTTTACTTAAATATGATAATTCAAAAAGTACTATTTCATACATCATAAACATTTGTCTTTTATATAAGTATCATTTTTAATATTTTTATTATAAATATTATATATTTGCATTTACATAATATTTTAAAAATTTACATAATATATAAGGAACTATTACAGATAGATACAGATAGATACTGAACAAAATATGATGAAAAAAGATAATTAGACCGATATAAGAACTAGAATTTTTCAATACTAAAATTGCTTTTAAGTTATAGAAATTAATCATAATATCACAATGAAAAATGTCTAACTCAATAATAATAAAAGAAAATGACTAGAACAGTAATAGTTAAACGTTCTGTGGAATGTGTCATTTATACAATATTTTCTCATTTTTCTCGCAAGACTCAATTTATAAAGAAATTTAGCTCATTAGTATAATGAGACTAAATTTTATGGATGTCATATGATTATGTCAACTTGATCTTGGATTTAATAATATCTTGATTCTTATAGTATAATTAGTATCTCTTATATAAGCAATGTTTGTTAAATTCTTAATGAATTCCTTACATTTTTTTCTTACGTGACCTCTGCGTAGCGCGATACCATTACGGAATTTAGCATTCGTTTTAATTGATCCGATTTCATCTTTATTATGATTAATTGAATCTTTTAATTCTTAAAAGATCGCTTTATCGAAAACCAGATTTTTTTGTATATTTTATTTATTTTTAAAGAAAATACAGTATTTGTCGTATAAATTCTTTAAGTAATATCATAATAATACAGTTTTGTACACAAGTAATATTACAGACTTTCTACTCTTGTACATTTGTTAATTAACTTATAATTGCTTATTAGCTTATAATTAGTTTTAAAGTCTATTTTTTAATTTATTAAACATACTTTTTGGATGTATCTCATGATGCGAAAGTTCTAACAGAGTTCTAATTAAATGTTAATTATGAGTATTTTATACATGTTTATAACGTATGTGCATAGTGACAATAATATATTTTAAGTCAGCATAATATTTTAAGATGCTTTTATATAATTTATGTAATAAAAATAAAATAAAGTAACAGACAAAAATATAAAATTTTCCATTTTAAGGTAATCTAAAATTAATATATTTACAATGTGCTTTATCAAATGGAATGAAAATATCCTTTTCATATTGTATCACCATTTGCATAAGCCTATGATATCAAAGAAAACAATACCTTCGAAGATTAATATTTCGTTTGTTTTTCATTAATCATTGAATTTATTAAAATACATAATCACTAATATTATATATAACCAAAATATGTGCGAAAAGAATTTTTTTTTAAATTAATTAGAAATTAGATTAATGAAAAGAACTATTATAATCGCTTTTAGAACATTTTGCGGCCTTTTTTGTCCTTTTCATACTTTTAAATAAAAACATGTACATATATAAGCTCGTATCATGACGCTTTGCTTTTCATAGCGCTGAGACACTACTGTGTCTCTAGACATAAGCAGCATCGTATATACAATATATATATATATATTAGGTTTAGTAAAGAGAAATCCATTATTTTTGC